GCCAGCCTGAAATTTTTTTCCATCATCTCAATTTTGTTTGATGTTACATCATGTCAAGCGCCAAATGTGACAATCCTAGGGTGGTCGAGGGGGCATGCCCCCCCCCCAGAAAATTTTGAAATCTTGACCCTCTGAAATGCTACAAATGTACTAGTATTTCCTGCATTTGAGGGGCAAATTTTGCTGGTAGACTAAGCTTACGTAGCCAAATGACATTTATTTCCATGTCTGTACACACCAATTCCGTCAAAGATGACGGGCAAATTTTTTTTCAGCAGCAAAATTCTGTCATATGATGGAAAGACAGACGCTGGCTAGAACACTAGAAAGGATACTTGCTTCTGGTCAAGAAGTGATATGAACATGTATATATCTGAAAGAGAGGACTGGTCTCCTTTTGCCAAAACTTGGTTGCTAGTTCATATACTGAGCACCAGACATAGGTAAGGTAAGGTAACATTGCTGGCTATATTGCGAGAAGTTAAGCAGTGTGTATGTTGACGGTTTAACATGTTTTTTTGCAGAGGGCTGGACATCAGGCCAGAGTGTTGTCACTAACAGCCTGCAATCACTGTAGACAGAGTCAGTGTGGAGTTATTGTTTAGTTAAGTTCATTACTGTTTACAAGATTGTCATCCGGTGTTGATTGATTGGGTTGTGATATTGCACGTCAAAATTCGGCACCTGAACCCACATTTTCCTAACTTCTCCATACAAAATCTAAAAAAGGTTCTGTTGCAAAGTGTTAATGATTAATGTTTTACCTGGTGTATGCTACAATGATACGTATTAAGAAAATACTTAAGACATAAGAAAATACTTAGTGTTGACAGGCTTCCTAAGATGATATAGATTCCTAATGTTGTACAGCTGCATGTAACAAAAGACAAGTGAAGTGCCTCTGTCCATCATCTCTTGTTAAGGCTGTTTAGCTTCTTATGCTTGAAGTGTTGTTTTAATGCTTCATATTGGCACAAGGTAGAAATCAAAATCTGTTGCACACCAACCATCAATGAGGACTTCAGGGCATTCCTATGCTGGAATTTAGCTTTTGCATTTCTTGAAGAGTCATGCACGTTCATGAAAAAAAGGTTTTTTAACAGAAAAAAAAATTGATTGAGCTGTTGACCAATGGATTAAGTTATTGAATATGTGACATTTAAATTTGGCCCACATTTTTTCCATCAGAATCATGTGGTAACAGGTAATTACCACTTCACATTTGCATTGAAAGCTAGTTAAGTCGCTGTAGAGTTGAAGAGCCCTGTCAAAGAAAGTTGCGAAGAGCAAAACAGCAAATCACGATACTTTGACAGGATAGTCAAGGCAAATGTTTCATGCACAATGTAACATATTTATAAGTTTGATTTTCTTTTTATTTGGTGAATCTAGAAGTTGATTTTGTATTGAGATGTGTAGTACTTTATACGTAGTAGAAGTTGGCTTAGCTAAGAAAAGTCTTTGCTTTGCCTATGTTATCAATTTTGTTTGGTTTTGGTGGCATCCCTTACATTACTGGCACTTGTCATCAGTGTTTTTTTTTTTAACAAAGATTAGCAAATTTACATCTCTCCTGGAAGAAAACAATTGGTAAGAGGAGAGTTCTATGATTTCAATGTAAGCTCAGATGACTTTGTAATACAATGGCAGAGATTCTGGG